TTATCCAACAGTATCAGCAAACTTCAAATGGAAAATGCTAAAGTGGCTCTTTAAAGGCTCCTTTTCTTCATCCTTCTTTCTTTTCTTTCTTTCTTTTTTTTTAAGATTTATTTATTTATTGGAAAGTCAGATATACAGAGAGGAGGAGAGACATAGAGGAAGATTTTCTGTTCGATGATTTACTCCTCAGGTGAGCGCAACGGCCGATGCTATGCCGATCTGAAGCCAGGATCCAGGATCTTCTTCCCGGTCTCCCACATGGGTGCAGGGTCCCATAGCTTTGGGCTGTCCTCGACTGCTTTCCCAGGCCACAGGCAGGGAGCTGGATGGGAAGTGGAGCTGCCAGGATTAGAACCAGCGCCCATATGGGATCCCGGCATGTTCAAGGCGAGGACTTTAGCCACTAGGCCACACTGCTGGGCCCCATCCTTATTTCTTAAACAATATGGCAAGAGGCTCACATTGTGTCATAGCATGTTGAGTTGCTTTCCACAATGCTAACATCCCAAAGGCTAACATCTCAAAGGCATTGCTTTGAGTCCTGACTGCACCATTTCTGATCCAACTATCTGCTAATGCACCCAAGAAAACAATGGATGACAGCCCAAGAACTTGGGTGCCTGCAACCAAATGGGAGACCTAGATAAAGTTTCTGGCTGCTGGCTCCTGGCTTCAGCCTGGTCCAGCAACGGTTCTTACAACCATTTGTGGAATACCAGTCAATGGAAGCTCTCTCTCTCTTTCTCCTTCACTCTATCTTTCAAGTAAGTAAATAAATAATAACTCCTAAATTAAAAAGATACAAAATGAAACAAGGTGGTATAACAACTATTGAAGTAACATTTTCATTGTATCTGGTATTGTAAGTAATCTTGGTATGACTTAAACAGCAGAAGAGGCTGCGTATATGTTATATATGCAAAAATGACCTTTTTATATAAAGGACTTGAGCATGCACAGATTATGAAGCAATCCCCCAGGATGCTGAGAGATGACTGTACTTCCTTCCTAGGCGTAATGTATTCTAGAGCTTATACAGAGGAGGCATTTGTGAGTAGAGCTGTCACAGATTCAGGCTGGTGCCCTTCTCTCATTTTCCCTGTAGTGTTCTATTGAATTTGATAGGAAGGGAAATAACTAGAATCAGCAATACAGCTGCCCTAACCTCACTTTTGAAATTTAACATTCTCTCCCATGGAGCTGCTTATGCTATGGAGAATGCATCTCAGTAGGCATACAGAATGCATTGAATTTGGAAATTATCAAATAATCATAGTTCTTCTGTGGTCAAAAACATAGAACTTGCTAGAAACATTAGTATGCTTCCCAAAGGTAACTATTATTAAAATGTATTTTAGCTGTATTACTTCCTTATGTAATGATCTGTTGAGTGTAATTCTACAGGTTTTCTTCAATTATTTCCTCTAGTAATTGTTGTCAATGTTTGGCTTAAAGCATAGTTTTACAAATGTTTTCTTTTTAAAATTGCTCCGTGTTTAAGGAGCTCTTTCTGGGTGGCGTTGCTAGCTTTTTTTCTTGCTAAGTAATCCCTGTTTACCCCTTCGCTAACACTTGATCAATAAATTTGTTCACAAAATGTTGCCATCTGCAGTGACTATCCCGAGAGCAGTGTGACCTCATGGAGATTACTCTGTTTTCAAGGTTGCTGATCTTTTGACTCTTCCTTAGTTGCCATAGTGATAATCTGAGCTTAACAGAATTTGATTGAAGCCTCATCAGTGGCCTTTTCAGTGTTAATGTTTAGATGTACAGTTTCTCACAACACATATGGAAATGAAATTTAACCATATAAATGTATACAAGAGTGGATTTTAAAAAAACTGTGAGATTTTAAAAAAAATTAATTAAATGTAGGTAATTAAATGTATTTTTGTGGGATTCTCAGAATACTTCTGTGAAGACATGGGCATATAGGCTAATAATCTGGTAGATCATTGTGAAGTGACAGCAGATTACTTTGTAATAGCTAGCATAAGCAGATTCAAGTACCATGATTTCTACAGAAAAGTCAGACTCCACTTTAACCAACTGCTATAGGAACAGTCCAGATGAGACATTAGGGATGCTGAGTTGGTGATCAACTAAAACTCATGAGGAGAACTGGAAGTGTGTATTTCTGAGATTCACTTTACAGTTTTAAGCCTCTTATTCACTGATAGTAAATAGATGACTATTTCTAGTATTATGATGGAACTTTGAAGAACACATTTTGAGGAATTTGATTCTTATTTCCTTTACAGTTTAATAATATTTGCTGAACTCAGAACTATGATCCAGTGGCTAAATCCTTGTGTTGCACGCACAGGAATCCAATGTGGGTGCTGGTTCATATTCCAGCTGTTTCACTTCCCATTCAGCTCCCTGATTGTGGCCTGGGAAAGCAGCAGAGGATGGCCCAAGGCTGTGAAACCCTGTAGCTACTAGAAAGGCTAGGAACAATCTCCTAACTTCAGACTACTTCGGCTCCAGCCATTTCGGCCACTTGGGGAGTGAACCAGCAGATGGAATATTTTTCTCTGTGTCTTTCCCTCTCTCTGAAAATCTGCCTTTCCAATGAAAATAAGTAAATGTTTTAAAAAAATAATGCTTGTTTTCAAATGATAGTCATGCACTTTTGGACACATAAGTAAAATGCAAATTCAGAAAATATAATAGCTCTTTAGTATTGTCAATACAAAGAAGGAAGTCTGAGCAGTGGCTTAACTTGTCAAGTCCAGAGTGTTTATCACTGCCTTAGATTCAAAGGTGCAGGTATTACACTATTGCTTTCCAGTTATGATCCCTGAAGCTCTCCATACCCAATGCAGAGTTAGTTGGGGTACAGTTTTCCCAAAACTCAAAACCAGGAAGTGACAACCCATACCCGAGGCCCAGCTCCTGTGTCTCCCAGGTGGAAGACCTGAGATTCCTCAGTTCTGTTTGTATATTCTATAAGATTTGAGGATGCTTTAAATAGTTCATGGAAAAATAGAATGCTAAGTTTATTTTGGTGCAATAGTTTTTGAAATCCATGTACAGTGTTTTCATTGTATGCATGGCCAATGAACTTTTTGAAGACTCCATCATACACTTTCTAGTTTATTAACAAAAATCAACATCCGTAGTGGTGGGATATGGGAATTTTAAGTTGTTGCTGGAGTTGAATTTAGTGAATGAAAAAGAAGCAAACAATAAGCCAGTTTCAGGTGTCAAAATAACCCCTTTGAAAAACGTGGAGAATATTTGTCATTGTTCATATTACATGTCTCTTGTTTTTTTCTGAATTTCAAAGCAAGCATTTCTTAAATGCAAGATAAAGTTTAAGTTGAAAATTTGACTGTATGTGTTTAAAACTAGATGATTACAATTATATCTGTGTTATTTGATTTCCATTATCACATTGATTTTTCCAGAATGAAAAGGCTCATTCTTTACTTATAAGGAATGAAACTAGTAGGTCTTTGGTGATCATTCCAGTTAAGAATTTACTGGCCATTTACCATATGCCAGACCACTATTATAAACACTTTGTATAAGGTTGAGAGCAAAGTAAGTAAATGTCTTTGTCATATGAAGTTTGTTCTTTTTTGGGCTTGGAATCATAATAAAAAATGATATAATGTACCAGGTGATGATATGATGCAAGAATTAGAATAAAGCAAGATAAGTGTCTGGGGAATGAATGAGGAATGGGAAAGATGTATTATTTTAGGTAGCCTTGTCAGATAAGACCACTAAGCTTATTGCATCATCTTTTATGTTTTCTTTTTCCAGGAATCATTAGTTTTGTAATTGGTCTCCTTTGCTTTTATTTTTTTGTCTATAGTGTCTTTTCCAATGGCAGTCATGCAGATTAGCTTAGATCATATCTCCTGTCAGTTCAGAACCTTGCAACCATTTCTACTTAGGATAAAGCTCACAGTCCTGCTTTTTGACTCCTGAGTGCCCATTTCTGATCCCATTTCTCTTGATTTCCCCCATGCACTGCATTCCAGACATTTGTTGATCCTAAACTCATCAGGTAGGTCCCACTCCTGGGATCCTTACACAGATTTTTCTATTCTACCTTTCCTTCATTTGGTCTGCTGGACACCTGCCCAGGGTGACCATCCATGGCCTGTGTACCTAATGTGGTATGCAGCCATCAGTTTTTATCTTACTTGCTTCTTTTATTTAATCTTATTTATTTTTAATAATAAAAGATAAAGAAAGAATGAGAGAGACAGGGCAAGAGAGAGAAAATTCTTCAAGTTGTTGGTTCATTCCTCAAATGACTGTGACAGCCAAGACAGGGCCAGGGGAAACCAGGAGCCCAGTGCTCCATCAAGATTCCCCATCTGCGTGGCAGAGATGCATGAACAGTCATCCATGGTCTCCCATACTGTGCATTAGCAGAAAGCTGGATTAGAAATGGAAGTGAAACTTGGAGTAGAAACTCCAACATCGGATGTCAGCAGCACAAGGGGCAACTTCCCCCTGTACATTTTTCTTTTTAGTATTTATCCTCCCCTGCCTTAGTGTTAGAGATCCACTTGCTTAGTTGGGTGTAACGCCATGCACACACCACAAAAACAGTGAGTGGAACTTTTTACTTTCTCTTGTACCATCCATACATGGAGTACTGCACCATACTGTAAGAGACTGATCATTATCTGTGGCATGAATGAATGACAGGACAAATATGCTCTAAGGACAGAATGCTGAATGTGGAGGAGAAAATAACAGGCAGAAAGGAATCAACTGCTTGGGAGGTTTTAGAAGAGATCCCATATGTCAGTACTTTTCCATGATCCTAATTCTGTCTCCTCCTGTCACCTAGAATAATATTCCTCCAGCTCCATTTCTCCATTGTTATATACACCACTAAGTAATAACAAACACAAACACATACACATACTATAGAGCTGCATGTTCTGTTTGGTAAATTGTTTCTACACTTGCAATTTTTAAAATATTTAAACGGGTTGATTTATGGTTGTTCTGTTTGTGTTTAATTACAGCCTCAACAAGTGCCCCCAGACTTGGGCCCATGGAGCTGGCCATTGTTGTTATGGTGCCTGCTTGCCTGCTGTCCGTAGCTGTTATGCTGACCCTATGGGTGTGCCAGGGACGACAGTGCACCTACAGAAGAAAAAAGAGGCAGAATGTAGAAGAACCCCTCTCTGAATGCAATCTGGTGAATGCTGGAAAAACCCTTAAAGATCTAATTTATGACGTGAGTGCCTCTGGATCTGGCTCCGGTACGTGGTCCTTGTCCATTTTTTCCTGTTTCTTAATTTAAAAGACATTATTAACCCAAAAAGGGACCAACTATTATGAATTCCATCATCTGAAATCCTTGACAGGTAGTATGTGGGAAGCTCAGCTCTGGTGTGGCAGCTTGTGCTAAGATTTGATGAAGTGAAAAACTGCTATGACCTGTAGCTGGACGAATTCAGATGCTTATTTTCAAATGCATTAAGAATTTATATCTGAAGCAAATAAGTAATGCCTCTTCTCTCATACTTAGATTACCTTTTGTAGTCAGTTAGAGTCAATATTGCTTTGTTGGTAATGTTTTATGAAAACAGAACAGTAGAAGTTATTGTATTTAAGGGCTTGGATTCTAGGGAAAAGATGTTAGTTATGCAAAATAATGTTCTTTGAGCACTTTTGCTTGTGAAAGTTTTCAGAATCTGTAGAGACCCTCTGGGATATATACAGGGAATATATTTATATATGTGTGTGTGTATTTACATATATACACATATATATGTGTGTACACACACACACACTCACGCCAGGGGATTAACCTGAAATTAAATTGAGAACATTAAGGGTCTAAAAATAGTTCATTGACAAATACATATTATGAAAAATTAACATGTAATTAATTATTAAAAATTTAATTGGTTGAAATATACACATTATGAATGGATGTAGCCTGTCTTAAATATATATGTATATATGAAAGGCAGATAGGAAGAAAAGAAAGGAAGAAAGCGGGAAATAAATAAATAAATAAAGCCGGAAGAAAGAAAGAAAAAAGATTTTCATCTGCTGACTTACTTTCCAAATGCCACAACAGCTGGATTGGGGCCAGACCAAATCCAGGAGCGTGGAATTCAACCTACATCTGTCAGGACCCAAGTACTTGAGTCCTCACCTGTTACCTCTCAGGATGCATAATACTAGGAAGTTGAATCATAAGTGGAATGGAAGATCTGGGACTCAAGTCAGGCACCTCGGTTTCACTGGAGGCCAGTGTCCCAAGCAACAACTTAACTATCGCACCCAAGGTCTTCCCAGTCTCCTTTTGGATTATTCTAGGTTTTCTTGTGGAATGAAAGGAGGAAGCCAAAGCATGGATGATTGTTTTGAAGACGAATTTGAAAGTGTGTTCAGCATTGTTTTTCTGAAGCTGGTTGTACAGATTTGGCAGTGACCCCTGGCTAACAGTCATTGCTGGCCTTCCTTCTGTTTGTTAATCGAAGAGTGTATCTGCACCCAGCTTCGGTAAAGAGAATTTACCTGTGAAGATGAAATTGGCTGGTTCTACTTCCCATGTGCTCCTCTTAATTGTCCAATGGCCTTAAACATGAAACAGCTTTGGCAACTGTTGAGAAGCAAAGAATTGTGAGGTTTATCCTTGAACTGGTCAGGGACACATTCTAGACAAAAATCCTGCAAGAGAGGAAAATAGATTCATGTTTTACTGTTCTATTTCTGAGAGTGGGTTATGTCTCAGCAGTTTTTAAGAGCCTGGCCAGGTGACTGCTTTCTTCTCATGGCATGAGGCTGGGATGGATGGTAACACCACGGAGAGGTTGTTTATTATGGCTACAAGACAGGCATTGGCTTTTAGAATCCTTGGTCAAAAGTAGAAAATAAACCTACCAGGAGAGACAAAGTCTGCGTATCTTTCTCTGACAACTTCAGGTGAATATGCAAAAATTACTCAGACTCCCTGTGCTGAGAGATATAGAATCAACCTCTACCAAGCTTTACTGTGTCACCTTCATTGCGATATGTGCAGTTTATAGGCTGCTTTCTTTGTCCTGGGTTGCACCCCTGATCATGCATTTGATCAATGCGCAGTTTGTAAATGTTAGTTCACCTTATTCTCTAGACATTTGCTCTTGCTTTGCGGCTGAATGAGGCTGCGGGTGGTATTTTCTGAGAGTGGATGCATGTGTATGTGTGTGCAAGATGGGAGTGGAAGTGAGATACTGAGATTATGATTTGGCCTATGCATTGTGTGCCAGGTTAGTGTGTGGTCAAACAAAATCTCAGAAACAGCCCCTTGAGCTCAAGGAGTTGGCCCATCGGGAAGGCTTGCAGTCAGCGGAGGACTAGAGTATGGATGCAAGACCAGTTATTTAGTCCGAGGTCTGCCTCTTGCAAGAACCACAGTCCTGGCAAGTCTTTGATTCCTGTGGGACTTGTTTTCCAAACTCTAAATGTGAAGGTTGAATCAGATGATTTCAAAAGAACTTTCTGGCTGTGGGGCTTTGTGACTAATTGTTGTGACCCATAACATCAAATTTATAGTCTGTGCTTATTTAGTCGTAGTAGGTGGTTCCCATAAAGATGAGAATGTCTGAATAAACCGTGGCTCATGTTAGGAGCAGGGACCAAAGCCCCCAGGTGTTACGGGGTTGTTGCTGTGAGAGTATCCCAGCCGTCAGAGTACAATGACAAGAAACAAATTGGCTCGCCAGAATAAATTCATATTGTAACCTTTTAAAGTATTTCTCCAGATTCTGAGAGTAATAAATATTCATTGTGGAAGTTCAGAAAACAAGAAAGAAGAATTACAATTTACCCTGGTTTCACCGAATTAGAAATAATCATCATAGCAATAGCATATTTCCTTTTCAGTCTTTTTCTGTGCATATTTTGAATAGCAAAATGTACGTCTTTATCTGGATAAAATCCCAAAAATGGTTTTCATTTAGCCTAGGGGTTAAGATGTTCATTAAGACATCTGTGTCCATGTTAGTGACCCTGGATCCAACAGTCATCTTTGACTTGTGACCTGTTGCCTGCTGGAGCAGATTCTGGGAGTGAAGGCTGAAGTGGTTGGCTTCCTGCCGCCCACTGGGGAGACCTGTACTGACTTTGGTCTGACTCACCCATGGCCAAACCCCAGCTGTTATAGGCATTCACAGGGGAGTCTCCTCCACCTCTAAAATAAATAAGACATTTTAAAAAGCAGTATGGCAAAGTATTTTTTCTTGTCACAGAAGCATCTCTTAATGAAATGAAGTATATGCATTTAATTATGCTATTGCATTGATGAACTGTGACTGGCTATATTGTACTTAGTGAACATGCACATATGCAGAAAACTGCTATAAGATTCCACCCAGGAAATATTCAGAACCAGCAAATTCTTTGCCCATAATGGGGAGAATGAGAATTATTGTTTATCGGGAACAGAGTTTGAGGTAATGGAAGATGTTTGGAATAGATTGTGATGATGTTGGCACAACATGGTGAATTTAAAATGCTACTGAGTTATGTTCTCAGAAGTGCTTAAAAGTTTGTTTTATGTGTGTTTATAAACATAACAAAAACAATTAAATATCTTAGTGTATCTAAGTAACCCGTTGTAGATTAACAATATTAATAATAAGTCACAGTTGATATGTAATATGCCACAGACTGTGTGGGGTGTTTACGATGCTTGTTGATATTCACATCACCCCCATGTGATGGCTGATGTGGTATCTCCAATTTTTTAAAGGTGGGTAAAGGTAAGATATATTATAAGCAATTTACTTGTTTGTGATTGCTAGTGGTATGGCTGCAATTCGAACTCAGGTCTTTCTTAGCTGTACTCAACACTTCTGCACTGTATTTCATGATTTTGTTTTATTATTGGGCACTTTACCTTATTGTCTTCTATAAACAATTATATAGGAAACATTGACATATCTAGTCATCATTTTGCATTTACTCTTTAGGACTGGATTTGAGAGGTAAGGTCATGGGTTCAACAAATATGCACAGTCCGCATACGCCCAGAATGTAACTTCTTTGGAACATTTGACTTTTATAAATATTTTAGTATTTTTTGAGCCTCAGCCTTGTTTTATATATATGTCATTAGTTCACTTGATTGTTGAATTTTATACTTCACTTTCCAATTTGATTTTATTTTAAAAAGTCACACACATTCTTTGGCTTTCCCGGTTTTACCAAGAACTATACATTTTATTTTAAATGACAACTAAATATTTTCCTTTTGTGTGCTTAAGTAACCTCACAGATTTTGGTGGGCAAATCAGAGAGGCTTGTTGGGGTTTTTAGAAATCATATATATCTGTAAGATCAGAGCATGTTAAATTTTTCTGTTTTACTAATATGAGAAAAGAGTATTTCAGCATGCTTTAATATTAAATTAGTGAATATAGGGTGACTATTTCTTCTAAATTTGCAATATTAATGAAGTGCTTAAAAGTTTGCTTTTTTAGGGTGGATATAGTGGTAATAATGATACCTGTTTTGTGGCTTATGTGTTTAATAATCAATTCCACCTTTTCTTTCATCAGGTCTTCCTCTGTTGGTTCAAAGGACAATTGCCAGGACGATTGTACTACAAGAAATTGTAGGGAAAGGTAGATTTGGTGAGGTGTGGCATGGAAGATGGTGTGGGGAGGATGTGGCTGTGAAAATATTCTCCTCCAGGGATGAAAGATCATGGTTTCGTGAGGCAGAAATTTATCAGACTGTTATGCTACGTCATGAAAACATCCTTGGTTTTATCGCTGCTGACAACAAAGGTATTTTCAATGTGATTGAGTAGAACAAGTAAAAATGTCTTTTTTTTTTTCCAGATGAGAGCAAGTGATCTTTTGGTTTTAGTACAATTTATTCTGTATTGAGGAATCCTCTTTTCCACAAGTAACTGTACATAGCCATGTAATGAATCAGGACGGGTGAGCCCTATGAATTCATAATGATGCAAATGCCAGGTTGATGTTTATTTGGTGACCAGTCTAGGGCAGGGCTGATTACTCAGATCAGAACTCTGAAGTGGAGCTGAGTCCTGCGGAGTGGGCTATCTAGGTTTATTCTCTATAGGCGACACTGGGTCATGGAAAGTTTGGGCGGATTCGTGAGCAATGGGGAGGTTTAGGTGTCTCAGGAAATTTAGACCCTTGGGAGTTTTGAGTAGCAGCTTACTAACAAGGGCAGAAATATTTTCCCATTTTTACAGTTGGTATGGATAAACCTATGAGGGTTGATTGAACATTGGCTGTGCTAGGACTCTATTTTCATGTGTATGACATGTTTCACCTTTAGAGCTGAAATGTGAACAGTCTCTAGATTGTTGCAGAATGACAGCAAGCAAGTGAAATTTTGGGATAATGTTGTTTGAGGATTATTCATATCCTATGATATAACCTTGCCACTCTTAAGTAGTATTACTTTTTGAGTTTCATCAGAATAGAAAAATGACAACCTTGTAGTTAAAATCCATACTCATGTGGCTCGCACTGTGGTATAGCAGGACAAGCCTTGGCCTGTGATACTGGGATCCCATATGGGTGTTGATTGGAGTCCTGGCTGTCCATTTCCTTTCCAGCTCCCTACTGATGCAGGATGACCCAAGAATGTTGGTACCTGCAACCCATCTGAATAATGCAGAATAAGTTCTTGGCTTCTGGCTGAGTCCAGCTTTGCTTGGGCCAAGTGGACATTTGGAGAGTGATCCAGTGGATGGAAGATTTTTCTCTCCATGTGCCTCTCTTTTTCTCTCTGTACCTTTGATTTTTCAATAGATAAAGAGCAATTAAATGTTTTAAAACTCACACACAGGGTCCAGAGCAGTAGCCTAGCAGCTAAAGTCCTCACTTTGAACGTGCCAGGATCCCATATGGGAACGGGCAGCCCTGCTTGCCATCCCTGCTTGTGGCCTGGAAAAGTAGTCAAGGATGGCCCAAAGCCTTGGGACCCTGCACCCGCATGGGAGACCTGGAGGAATTTCCTGGCTCCTGGCTTCAGTTCAGCGCAGCACTGGCTGTTGTTGCTACTTGGGAAGTTAATCAACAAATGGAAGATCTTCCTCTCTGTCTCTCCTCCTCTCTGTATATCTGCCTTTCCAATAAAAATAAATAAATCTTAAAAAAAATCACACTCATAAATTTACTGTTGTATGCACAGGTTATCAGGGACTGTGTATAAATCTTACAAGTTATTTGTGCTCTGTTTATTTTGCACAGTTTCTATGAATGGAACTGTGTGTTATTGCTCTTAACAATTTAATTTAGTCATTTTTTCACACTTAAATTAGTATTACTTAGGAAAAGTTGGAGTTATAATTTCCTTTTTCAAAAGGATTGAAATAAATGAACAGTTCCTATCAGGATTCACCTTGTCTGTAAGCATCAAAAGTCTGTGATTATTTCTGTTTAATATAATGTTGATTATGAAACTATTCATTGTTAATTAGATAACAAAAGAGAAGCTAAACATTTGTCCTACATTTTGACCATAGTTGTGTTTCTTGATGATTTGTATTTTTCCATTTTCTAGGGAATAACTGAGTAAAACCAGGATTGTCACACACATACGAAGTTTCTCTCTAAATTCATATCTGTCTATCTATCTATCTATCTAAAATTATATTCAGATTAGTCACAATGAGACACTCTTATTTAAGTATTAATAATTTTGCTTTTTCCCTTCTAACTCTGAGCTGAGCTGCCTACTGATTAGGTTAATTATCAAGACTTTCAAAATATCAATGATTATACATAAACAGATCATTATGATTGGACTAAATAATTATGATCTTTATTGGATTATGAGTAATATGCACAGGAGAGCTCATTCTTAGCTTTCTCTTTAGTATAAATCTTCCAGTCCTGTTATCTCCTCATGTGAATGAGTGTGCATCATTCTAAATGGTCTCTAGTATCAGCTCCATCTTCTTCATCTGTTGTGACATTTACATTTTCAAATGTATTGGAAAATGTCTAATACATTGACATGAAAGAACAGGTGTAGCCACTTGTGTCAGTTAGTTATGGAGAGTATGGTCAGTGGATTAGTAAGTTTTATCTCTTTATAATGACTTGCACAGTCTTGGGAAATTTTATCACTACTTAGGTTTGGAAATTAAACATTTGGATAACAAAGTGTTCTTGTATAAAGAGGATTTTGTCAGCAAGTTTTTACTGTAGATTCCTTTTTTGCTGAGTGCCAGAACTGGTCAGGACTGCTAAATGTGTTTATAGACATTTTATTTCAAAAGCTAATGCTAACTCTAGTGAGTGTAAGGCGTGAAGAAACTTATGTTAATTTCTCTTATGTTGGATGTCTTTTTAATAAGCTGAATTAGCTTTATTAAATGATGTGAATTGTTTTAAAATGTCTAGTGATTGTTTTTGGCTCTTAGTACAAGCTCTTGGAGAAAATGATAAGCTTTATATTTTGAAAATGATTAACATGAACATTCTCAGGGTGTTAAAGCTTTTATCATAATAATGATCAGGACAAATTTGTTGTATCTTTAATTTTTATTGGTGTATTATTGTATAAAAGCTCTGAGTAACTTATTACACAGCACAGAGCCTAAGTGCATCTCTCAGGAATTTCTCCTAGAATGTGGTTGGTTTTGCCAGCATGTATTGATTGGAGGGAACAAGAAAAGAGCGGTTCAGTCATATTTAGTCGTTAGAATCACTGCCTCACTCTACCTATTCTATGTGAGGAACTATAACAGGCTTTGATGTATCAGCATCTTTAGGGATTCATTGAGAATGTGGGCTGCAAGCATTTCTGCTGAAGGATTTAACCTCCCTTTGTTAACAGTACGGATTAAACACTGATATTTGTTAAAAGCTCCTAGTTTCATCTGAACTTTTATTTTCAACAACAAAATTCTGTTTTCTTGTTAGATAATGGGACTTGGACTCAACTTTGGCTTGTATCTGAATATCATGAACAAGGTTCCTTGTATGACTATCTGAATAGAAACATAGTGACAGTGGCTGGGATGATAAAACTGGCGCTTTCGATAGCTAGTGGTCTGGCTCACCTCCACATGGAGATACTTGGTACCCAAGGTATGAATTTCCTTCCAATTTTTTCTCCTTAAAACTGAAGATAGACCATCAAGTTGTATTTCAGTTTTTATAAACAATTATTGAATACAAAGAAACATTAAATGATTTTATAAAACTGAAGATTTAGTCATAATATGCCAACTTGTACTTAATTCCAATTTTGTATATTATCCATAATGCATCATTAGTACTTTTAACTCCCTTTTTGTTGCTTAGTCTTGGAGTTCTCATCTGGTGGCAAAAGCTCCATTTTCAGAGATATAGTTAAAAATAATTGGAAATGATAACATAATTTTGAAAATAATACCCACTGTTTTTATTTATTCAGTTAATAGAGACTCAAGGAAGCCCTTAGCTAGAGTAATTGTTTGTGACATATGATTCCTTGAATTTTAAAATTAAGATCAAAGAGAGAGACAGAGAGATACAAAGAGAGAGTTAGTTCTGTCATCCACTGGCTCTGCTGTAATCCCCAGGCCAATAGCAAGAACCTGGATCAGAAATGGAGCATGCAAGGCATGAAACAGCATGCTTATGGGATGCCAGCATCATGGGTGGTAGCCTTCTCTGTAATGCCATTATACTGACCCCATGATCCCTTTGCATTCTTTTTTCTTAAGATTTATTTATTTTTCTTGGCAAGTCAGATTTACAGAGAGAGAGAGAGAGAGACAGAGAGAAGGATCTTCTATCTGCTTATTTATTTCCCAAGTGGCCATGTGCTGATTTCTTTCCTATTTCCTGGACACAGGAAAGAGGACATCATATAGATAGTAGTTGCAAAAACAGTATTCAGGACCACTTCTGTATTCAGGACCACCTAACTAGGGTAGTAAGAGTTGGAAATTTGCTTAATATATTTGCCTTATTCTTATATGTACATAGCAATAGAATTCATTCTCATTTATCAAAAACAAATTTGCTTGGCCTATAAATGTCAGCTACTCTTCTAAGCTTTGTACATGTGATACATAATAAAAAGCAACTGCGGTGCCTGCTTAGCAGCCAAAGTCCTCGCCTTGAATGTGCCGGGATCCCATATGGGCACTGGTTCTAATCCCAGCAGCTCCACTTCCCATCCAGCTCCCTGCTTAAGGCCTGGGAAAGCAGTTGAGGATGGCCCAAAGCTTTGGGATCCTGCACCCGCTTGGGAGACCTGAAAGAAGTTCCTGGCTCCTGGCTCTGGATTGCCAAAGCACCAGGCTGTTGCACTCACTTGGGGAGTGAATCTTCGAATGGAAGATCTTCCTCTTTGTCTCTCCTGTCTGTGTGTCTGACTTTGTGATAAAAATAAATAAATCTTAAAAAAAAAAGTAACTGGGGCCTGATGTTATATCCAAGTGGCTAAAGTCCTTGCCTTGCATGTGCCAAGATCCCATATGGGTGCTAGTTCTAATCCCGGTGGCCCCACTTCCCATCCAGCTCCCTGCTTGTGGCCTGGGAAAGCAGTCAAAAATGGCCAAAAGTCTTGGGACCCTGAATTCATGTGGGAGACCCTGAAGAGACTCCTGTCTCCTGGTTTTGGATTGGCTCAGCTCTGACCACTATGGCTTCTTGGAGAGTGAATCAGCTGACAGAAGATCTTCCTCTCTGTCTCTTCTCTTCATTGTGTATCTGACGTTCCAATAAAAAGTAAATAAGTCTTAAAAAAAAAAAAGTAACTGTCCTGATTCAACTATGGTTTAGGTAGGAGAGTGGGATGGTTAACCATGCAGATGAACGGATAATTCAGAAATTGCAAACAGATTTGAATAAAGTAAAATGCAGGAATCTGATGAAGAATGAATTGAGGTGCAGAATGAATTGTTAGAAAGTCCTGTCTGAGGAAGTCACATTTGAAATACATTTTCAAAATAATTACTCTTTGTCCCGGCACAGTAGCCTTGTAGCTAAAGTTCTCGCCTCGCACATACCAGGATCCTATATGGGTACTGGTTCTAATCCCTGCAGCCCCGCTTCCCATCCAGCTCCCTGCTTGTGGCCTGGGAAAGCAGTCGAGGACAGTCCAAGGGCGTGGGACCCTGTATGCACTTGAGAGACCTGGAAGAGACTTCGGGCTCCTGGCTGCAGATCAGCTCAGCTCCAGCTATTGTGGCCACTTGGGGAGTGAATCAGCAGACAGAAGATCATTCTCTCTGTCTCTCCTCCTCTCTGTATATCTAACTTTCCAAAAAAAGTAAATAAATCTTTAAAAATTACTCTTAACAGGCTCAATATTCAGGAAAGAAGAAAATGAATATATTTCTTTGTGTTTCGTAGGTAAACCTGCTATTGCTCATCGAGATATAAAATCAAAGAATATCTTAGTGAAAAAATGTGACACTTGTGCCATAGCCGACTTGGGATTGGCGGTGAAGCACGATTCAATACTGAACACCATAGACATACCTCAAAATCCCAAGGTGGGAACCAAGAGGTAAGCTACCTTTGTGGGGTAGTATACTAGGACTTGCCATTTACCAATAAACTTGAATGCCTGTAAGGTGCTTGTAGGGGTCTTAGGTCCACGGGGGAATCCTTAGGCCCGAGAAAGAAGGGAGTCTTCTCTGGTTCACTGAGAAGCCAGTTGGCTCAATGATGACATAAAGCAAGAATCTTGACATTTGTGGACAGCGGCATCATTCAGTGTAGAGGAATGATGGAAAAAGCAATAATATCGGAATTTTAATGCACTGTATTCCTAGGTTGAATATTCCTACAGATAAAAAAGAACAAGCAATTGTGTGTAATATCACTAAAGCCTTTATACTTTATATCAAAATGCATGGCTGGTGATGAATGTTAAATTTCTGAGCAATAAGAGTTAATGAATTGGAATCAGTAGGTTTGTTACCCTTTAAGAATAAATACATTTATGTGTTATTATAGTTCGTTAATGCCTAGTGATATTGCCTTAGAATTTTGTATCATATATGCTTTACTTATCCTAAAATCTCTTGAATTTATTTTTATTGATAAGAGTTTGATCACCATTTTCACACTCAGAATAACATCTCTGAAAATCAAGGACAAGCATGATGTGAATTAAGCATTCTTACATGTATCAAGACTTGCTATGGACAATCTACTTCTATTTTATTTGAGTTTTCTCTGTTATTTTGTCATAATTTTAGGGTACTTGATCTGAACATCAGTATCAAAATATTGTCCTTTGCCAATATTGTGCTGTAGATTAAGCTTAAGCCACTGCTTGCAGTGCTGGCATCTCATATCAGAGGGGGGAATGAGTCCTCGCTTCTTTGCTCTAATCCAACTGCTTGCTATGACACCTGGTAATATAGTGGAAATGGACCTTGCCACTCTCATGGGAGGACTGGATTGTGTTGCAAGTTCCAGACTTTAGCTTTGCACAACCCTTTCTTGGAATTATTAAAGGCCTTGGAGAGTAGAGAATTTCTATGCTGATGACCGTTAACTCATATTTTAGATTCTAGGACAGTGCTTGAGATTCATTCTTTTGATTCTTGGAGCCAATAATGAGGAGTTAAGAGTGCATCAGGAAGGTTTACTCAAACAGGACACCCTAAAATTTTTGCTCTTTTCCTCTTACGAATATAAGGACTGAATTTGTATACCCAACTCTCTCTACATTATTCTCAGGGTAACCTTAGATGATGTACTGCTTCAAAGAGTACTTACTTCAGTATGAAAGGATGTTGTATTCCCCACTCCAACATCCTGTGACCTTCCAAAGATCTCTCTAACACAGCTGGGCTCATTAGGTCCCATGGATTATACATTTTTTAAGTTAGTCATGCTCAACTAAAATTATACTCGTCTGAAATTTAATGTGTAAAAAATTGTTCACTTATGGAAGACATTTCTGGTATGCTACTTAGCACAGTGCTGAAGGTTTGCTGTCACTATGATGAAAACATTATACTCTTTGATGTCATGGCATTTCCCAAGAAATGAATAATGGGTGTTGAATTCTGTTTCCTGTGTCAAATGCTCTGATATTTCTCCAGCTTGAAATTTCTAAGCACCAGGTTCCTTATACATTTGTTTTAACAAAGTAGAATGGCCACAATTAAAAAAAAAAACTTTTTAAAACTGAAGACTGCAAAAGAGTAACTCTATTACTGAATTTTATTTTGTAGTGGTGCTTCAGATCTGCCTTTAAAATTGATGCAAGTGGTCTTAGTTTAAGTTTGGATTACAATTTACTAAGGTTGTGTTTTATTGAACTGCTGTAAAGTCACACAATCTGAAGATGTACATGTTTTGAAGGTATATGGCTCCTGAAATGCTTGATGATACAATGAATGTGAATATCTTTGAATCCTTCAAAAGAGCCGACATCTATTCTGTTGGTCTAGTTTACTGGGAAATAGCCCGAAGGTGTTCAGTCGGAGGTACGATTTTGGAAATACCCTTTGTGTCTTCTTTTCCTTGATACTCTGAATGAAAAATGAAATTTCTTTTTTTTCCCTACACTCTATATTGAATATCTTCTCTAATATTTATTGGAATATCCAGTGGTGTGCAGCACTTGAAAATGATCTTATTTGGGTTTGTATGCAAGTGAGTGGGCACTTCTACTTTATATCCAAAAGAATTTGAATGGCTTGCTAAGGTTACAGGATTTGGAGTTCTCTGTTGTATGCACTGACTTGTTCTTTGTTGTGATTTGATAAATTTGTGTGGAAAAGAGTTGTTTGCAGTTGAGGGTAGGTGAGCAAAGACAAATTTTCCGTTTCCTGCTCCAGGAAGTTTAGAAATTAATACTGAGGGAAGGAAATAGTATATTGTTGCAAAAATTTAAGAAAACACAAAGAAAAGTAGAAAAGAGGAGGGAGGAAGTTAGATTTTCTTATTTTTTAGACTTGTATTCTTGAAATAGATGAAATATATTCTCTTTATGTTGTAAACATAATTTTTAGTGTGCAAAGGCCTTAGGACAATGCTTATTATATATGAATATTTTGAGAATATTTATTTTTTATGAAATTTTCGTATGTCTGTTTGTATTGCTTTTGAAGTTTGGTCCCATAATTTTTTAAGGTTATTAGAATTGTATCAACAATCTATATTGACTCTTAAAAATAATTGAAAATTAAAAAAATAAAAAATAGTAATTTAATTAGCATGATTTCCTATTAATTTTCTATGATTATGGCATGTTTTAAATATAGTCGGTTGTCACATGATTTTTTTTCGATTGCAAACTGCACTTGTGACAGTTGGTCCATAGAACTATTGTTTAGTGACATTGTAACCATCTTAGTGTAAAAACACTTTATGATATTCATAAAATGATGAAATTGCCTAAAGAGCAACTCTCAGGGGTAACCCTGTGATTAAGTGATGCATGATTATATTTAAAAATAAAAGGACTAAGTTCAATCCAGAAGTCTATGTAAAGGTGTGTTAAAATTGAAGTTATAGTCTAATAAATAAAGGCATCTTTTTGATTCCTTGTAGTTAAGTCCTGTCTTTCATCTACCATTGCCTGCTCTTCCAGAACATTAGGGAACATTAGAAACATTGGTTTGCATGATAGCAAGTTATGTAAATAAATATGTTATTTTTATAAGAGAAAACGTAGAAACACTATTTGATATGGTTATGAAATTATATGGACTTATTTTATATGATAATGAAATTAAATTTATATTTTACATAGTTATAAATAATGTCATAGTATACAATTCTCTAGTTTTAAATAATAACTACTTTAATGAGTCTTTTAAATTATGTCCATGGTTTAATAGTGATACATTATGTTAACAATTGTGACTTCCTTGTTTTCTCAAGGTGTCACGCTTTAGAAGATCTAACTGGTATTTTGATTTAGACATCTTTATTTACTATTAACACAGGGACATTTTTATGCAAATTTCTTATAGGAATGGTGGAGGAGTACCAGTTGCCTTATTATGACATGGTGCCTTCGGATCCCTCAATGGAGGAAATGAGGAAGGTCGTTTGTGATCAGAAGTTCCGACCAAGTATCCCAAACCAGTGGCAAAGCTGCGAAGTAAGCCTGTGCTTATGGTTTATTTTCTTTATTTTTTTAACGTTTATTTATTTTAATTGAAAACGCAGATTTACAGAGAGGAGGCACACAGAGAAAAAGACCTTCCACGCTCTGGTTCACTCCCCAAGTGGCTGCAACAGCCAGAGCTGAGCCGATGTGAAGCCAAGAGCCAGGAGCATCTTCCAGGTCTCCCATACAGATGCAGCATTGCTAAGCTTTGGGCCATCCTTGATTGCTTTCGCAGGCCACAAGCAGGGAGCTGGATGGGAGGAGGAACAGCAGGGACATGAACCTGCACCCATATAAATCTTGGTGTGTGCAAGGCAAGCATTTAGCCACTGAGCCATTTTCCCAGGCCCTTGTTTATTTTTCTACTACATATTTTGATGATTGTCAGGGAAGATGTTCAGAGGCCTTATGGTTCTTCTTTATGAATCTAAGCATTTAACTTATTCCACATAGGTTGGTAAGATGTTTTTATATGCCTTCAGAGGATTTTATTGTTTTTAGTGGTATCTGTACGTAATGCCAGGCTATGTTGTGGTAACAAACTCCTGAAAACTTGTTGACTTTCTACAACATGCATTTGCTTCTTGATTGCACAAAGTCCTGTGCATGTTGCGCAGTTCCCTATAGCATCAGTTCTCATGGAGACAACTCAGAAGTCTTGGTGATTTTGATCTCCAGAAGCTGACATTGGACATAGTTTCTTTAGGTGAGGGGAAAGAGAGAGGACGGAGGATCTCACACACTGGCTCTTTAATCCTTTGACACGATGTGACACCCTAGCACTGATACACACATCGTCACATAGCTGTCTGACAGCACAGGGGCTGTGAATTGTGGGAATGTAGGCAGCTCTCTGGGTACTCACCACTTCTTTTTTTTTTTTTTTTTTTTTTTTTGAGAGCCCATTGAATGTGTCTTAAGTCTTTCATTCAGTTTTGCTGGTATAATAGTTTTACACTATGTTTATGTCTCTGTAGGACATATTCATCCTTAAAGTTAGAGCTTTGGAAGTGTCTTGTGTGCTTCAGGCTGGATTTTCTGCCTCCCGGTGTCACACCGTCAGGTCTGAAGCTCCAGAGCAGCTACTTGCTTCAGAGACTGTCTGCATCTCTGTGGTTTCATTTCCTGTGTTTTCATTATTTTTTGCTCTGTGTATCACATTTCCTTGATCATTCACTTATGCTGTTTCATAGATTTTCTGATATTTGTACTTGAATCATATGCTGGCATATAGTTTTTATATGTTGAGGCACAAAGAGCTCGGTACGGAATTTGATGGACTACGTATCCGTGTGTGTATGCGTGGGATTGTGCATGCAGGGATGTTTACCGAAATCAAGACATGGGAAATTTCTACTCCTTGTACTATTTTTTCATAAATCAGTAGGTTGGATTTTCCACTGTCAGTATTTACAAGGTCAATAATCATTCTCAGAGCTTTCTTATGGTGTTTTGCATTTACAGTTTCTTCATACAAGCCGAACATCAGTAGAACAATGTGCAATTTTTGGCACTTAAAAAAAAAACTGTTCTTTATTTCCTGAGTAGGTAACATGCTTGAGGTGGTACTAAGTTTAAATCTCATCTTTCTCTTCCAGGCACTCCGAGTCATGGGGAGAATAATGCGTGAGTGTTGGTATGCCAACGGGGCAGCCCGCCTCACTGCCCTGCGGATTAAGAAGACTATCTCTCAACTTTGTGTGAAAGAAGACTGCAAAGCCTAATGTGATAATTTTGTAGAAAAAAAAAATCTCTCACAGCTTTCTTTTTGATTTTCCCTCCTTATGTGAAATTTTTTTTCCCTTTTTTGTTCTACCTCAAAAGTTATACAGTACAGTATTTAAGTGCCCAAAGGCATGAAAAGATAGGCTAAAAAGTTAAGCTTGGACAGGAGTTGACTTCATCCAATCTCCATGTTGTCTTTAATTTTACTTTGAAAAGCAGCGTATTGACTTGTCTTTTTATTTATTGAGAAGGAAGATATTGTAAAAGTCTAAAATAAGCTATTTAACAATAATAAACTCTAAGGTTAAATTTTACTTGAACAAAGAGTACATGAATGAATAGTGGGAAATGTCAAAATGGAAAAAACTTTTTCTGAGGTGAAACAAAATGTGAATTAGAGTATGTTATAGTTAACAGAATCCTAGATCATGCAGCCTTTTATTTTTCTTTTTAAATTATTGAAGTATAAATATTATTGTGAATCTTAATATATAAAATCTGTAAAGATTGAACGGCTCAGTGGAAGATATCAGTGAGGTCACTATTCCACTTACTTTGTCTTCTCTCTTCTTGTTCCCCTACACTTCGTAATCCATTATTACCCCTGTCTTAGAGACAAGTAGTTTGAAATTGACCAGAGATATTGCTTCCTGTTATTCTCAAAAAGGGACAAATGATATTTTGAGGTGCTCCAGAACGTACCCAGAGTCGTATAGCTAATAACAGATGTGGTACTAAGTTCAAATCTTATATTGGTCAACAATGTAGAGTTAGCTAGCTTTCTTTTTTTCCCTTGAATTTCCAGAATACTTTTGTTGCAGGACACTTCTCAGTGTGATGGTTAAAGTTTAGGAGGTATATTTAAAATAAAGGAATTATGTTGAGTTATTTTTCACAATCAGAATGGAGCTACTTGAAATTCCTGAATTGTGTTTATTAATATTTTCCTCCTAGGAAAGTAAGACTACTTCAAAACATTTGTTGAAAATAGAATTAAAATTTTGTTACTTTGCTACAAAATTAAGTACAAAATTTTTTGAAAACCATGTATTTTTTTTCCATAGTATCCATTTTCCATGTACTGTTTGCAGGTTCCTTGGATCATCATTATCCCATTTGTTAAAGAATATTAATGGTTTTGAATACTTTCAAATATCCATATGCATATAAATATCCATGGTCTGAACATGTTTTTAATATGCAATTCAGACGAAACTCCTAATGGTTTCGAACATGCATACTCAGAAAAGGAAGGAGAAAGGAAAGAAGAAAATATATTGAGGCAATGTAATGTACTCTTTGATGAATTATAATATGCAAACCCCACAGAGTTTCAATAACAGAAAGTAGATATTCCCTTAGTTATTAAAAATGAGCAGAAGGATGCAAAATGCTGTGACAGCGTTGCCTGCTTTCTACTTTCTGTGTAAATAGAATGGTGAGTAGCTAGTGGGGCAAGAAATGTTTCCTTCCAGTTTGTAATTCAGCTTTGGTGAAGGAGACTTAACATAGTATCTGGTTTTAAAACATGCTTTTGCTGACTGTTCTTCCGGGCATTCTTTTCAGATGAATCAGGATCAAAAGCATGCTTTGATCGCTTATGAGACAGATACCTGCACATAAGTCTATCATCTACCTTGAGGAGTCTAGCGGGAAAGAAATGTTACTTGAATCTTTTAAAATCCAGATGTCTTTAGATAATAATGGAACAATTTCATTAAGAACAGAAGCCTCTTACCATCCCACTTTTAAGTGTTCTACCACACTGGAACAACAGTGTTCTGACGCATGTACCTATATATTTTTACATAGATCCATAATTTAGTGATTGTATTTCTGATCATTGTGGAAATCCATCTTAATTTGATTAAGTTGAGATAAGGCAGGCAAAATACTGACAGCTATGAGGTTTTTATATGGTTTCATTCCCATTTGTGCATTTATTCGTCTATTAAATAATCACAGGTTATCTCATGCTTGCTTGCCACAATATTGGGCAAAACATGGAATTAAAAGATGGAGGGTTCCTGCCCTCAGGGATTTGAAAGTCTAACTGGGGAAAAAGAAAGGTGATGTAGGTGTGTGTGAGGGGCGGGGCTAGAAAATGACAAATGATATATAAAGTGTGATGTTTGTATGACAGTGGATTTTAGAATAGGTCTAAAAATCATGTTCAATTTGGACACATTTAGAAAGTGTCTTTAGTTGAAAACTAAAGTCTAAATACATCATCAGTTTTAAAAAGAGTTTTTAAACTCTTTAAACACCTATATAAAGAGTTTTCAAAAAGCGGTTATGTGAAGTGATTATCTTGCTTGTGTATATTGATTTCTCATAGATTGTTTCTGCATATATGAGAATGAAATTATTTATTAACTATGATTATACTCTAGTCTCAAATCGCAGTGATAGTTCCTCTTTCATTGACTTATGTTGACTGAATATATTTATTGAAATTTTGAGACATTTCCATTTTCCTTGTCATTATATTTTATAATTTATTTGAGGGCATCTAAATATAATCCTGTATGTTATTGGTTTTATTTTCATCCTAGAGAAATCTGTACATTTGTAAATTTTGAGGCATTTTACTTATTCTTATGTTAGCTATAACTCCTAATGAAAAGTCTGATATTTCAATTACAAAATACATTTTTTTTCAGAGGAGTGGTATAGCCATAGAAATGACTAAGAAAACACTAAGTGTTGGAAATTTCCTTAGCTCACAACATGATCCTACATAGCAAATGCTCACTGATAATGACAGAATAAAGTTAGGGCATACAGAAGATACACTGTATATACCTGTGCTGTTAGATCTTGTATTGTTTGCTTGTAATGAACTTCCATTGCATAATATTTACTCCTTTTAAATTTGTTATGGGAAAGCAATATTCTTCTTCAGTTAGGCTTACTTTGTCTTGAGTATGACACCAAGCTTGGGGGAAAATGCCATTGTGACATTTAAATAACATGTAAAGTGTTGATGGAATTTACATGCAGCATTCCTTCCTGAAAGCAAGAGGAAATATTATTTGTTGTCAATATTTCAGCATGAACTGGTTGCCTTATAAGTTATGCATTTAAGTTTGTAATTGGTACAGATTGTGTTGTATGCTTTCTTCTATGTCTAAGCTATTTGGCATGTCACTTCTAGAATTCTTAATTTATGTTCTGATTTGAGAGCTAAGTGAAACATGACTGTCGTGCACTATTTTAGGCATAGCACTTGCTTTTCATCTTTGTACTTTCAATTAACTTTGCATTTTAAATTTCCATGATTGTATGAAAATAGTAACCTGGTTGCAATGTCTGAAGAACTCAGAATCAGCTTTTATTTAAAAATGAAATTCTACAAAAGATTCATTAGGTCAGAAATTCCACATTCTTTTATTTTGAATAGTTATACTATTGTAGAATTATTAAACACTACTTCTACTGTCTTGGATTTTTGCCACCGTGTGACTACAGGGGCAGAACAAACTCAGGGCTAGCTTGGAGTCTACACAAAAGCAGCAGGGCGCTTGGCAAGTCAATCGAAAGCAAAGACTGACGTTTGCCACTATACGAACTTCAAGTGAACAACTTCAAATTACTTTGCAGGGAATGCTTTTTGATAGATTATTTAAAACAACTGCACTTGTTTGGGTATTGAATAAATGTATTTAAAGTGTGGATATTTTATTTCCCATAGGGACCTTTAAGAAGCAGTGGTTACAAAAGAATACAAGTTGGCAGTTGACATGTTCAATAATTATTCCTTTAAATAAATTTATAAATACAACATGATAAGCTATGGAGATATGCTTAGGATTAATGTATTAAAATGGTGTCCTGGTGGCTTTTGAATGTATTCCAGAAGTTTTTTTTTTTAATTTTGTGAAACCTATCATTTATATGTTCAATATTTGTTTTAAATCCTTATTCTAATGTCAGCATGGACTTTGCTATCTAAGTGAAGACAATAATCTGAATTTGGGGGTTGTTTCTACACTGTAGAGAAGTCAGTTGGAAGACAAAGTTTTCATCCAAATTTTAATACTAAGCAGGTTTTCTTTACAGTTTCCCCAAGGGTTTTTAACTATTCATTTTCGCCCTCTTATTTTACACAGAATTTCTTTTACTTTCATTATTTTTCTCATCTCCTGATTTTAAACGTATGCCTTCATCTTTCAAAATTATCTTTATTCTCTTGACACTCTTATGTGCTTTTATTTTTTCACTACTATTAAGAGAACGTGTTTTATGCAGTCCATGGATACAGGTTGGAGACAATCACACTGCTTTTGGTACTCTGCTTTCCTGCCTCCCACCCCATACCTCACCCTTCCTCTGTGCAAACAGGGTTTGCAGTCATGATTAATTTACTTTCTATTCATAAGCTTGATTTTTTCACTTATCATATATTTGACAAGTCAGAATAAAAAGACCATAAGACCACATTTCCAGTGGGGTAAAATCATACATTACAAATGACAATTTTATTGTATATCAGAGAAAACATGCAATTTATCTTTTTGAGATGGGCTTATTCTATGCAGCATAATTTAGGTTTCCAGTTTTATGGCAAAGGACAGAGTTTCTTTTTTGTGGCCAAGTAGTATTCCATAATACATACATACCACATTTTATTTATCCAGCCATCAGGTGATGAATATCTGGGTCAAGATTATTTTTAGTTTCTAGTCTTAAAAACTCATTGCACTTACACATGCTGTAATTTAGCATTTTGATCAAAGCAAATTCCCTTATTAGTGTGAATGATTTCAGTTATGCCATGGGAAAAGTAACTTAATTCCAATATTTTATCAATGAAGAAAGTCAAGGACCAGATATTAAATGACTACTAGCTATGATCAGAAACCTGGTAATGACACCCACCACTGTTCCCTATTATGTCTCTAATTATTCCTGATTGAGCCATTAATTAGCATGCATCTTATGCTACCTTGAATGTACACTAGCATAATGTGTCAATGATAACAACGATCATTTACCACTACTTCATGCATACCAACATTATTTGTTCAATCCAGGCAATCTAGGCCAAGGAAGATTTGTGTAATAGTTCTCAAGTTACATAGACAATTCCTAGAGTGCTGATAAAAGTTAACGACTAAAATTTAGAATGTCTGAGTGTGGGATCTCCTAATGGAAGTAATAATTAGGGA